ACTTCCTGGGTCACAAAACAAACAATAACAACAGACACCCCCAAACAGAATACACCCCATAATTTCTCAAAGGCAATAGAGGTCTTACTTTCAAAGTGTGGACTTTTCATGATTTTCAAACCTGTTTTATATCACAAAGTTAAAGGATTCAAATTATGAAGAATTTAGGAAAACATGCAAAACCTTAGTCAGAGATCAAGTCCTGCTAGAAGGACACCCTTTGATTTGGTGGCTGATTCGTTCACATGGCCTCTTTTCGTCCACAGATATGAGGTACAGCAATGGTTCTGAATACTACAGATCATTCACTTCACCAGAGCCGAGAGCTGTGGGTGGATCGTTCTAGGGGCACATTCCTCTCTTTGCTATGCTGGCATGTGGAAGGTATCCTCACACACAGAAGCATGTCAGGAGAGCTGGGCTTGGTAAACACAATTAATGAGTAGAAGCAGCCGATAAGCCTACATAAAGAACCTCATTAAGGACTCTAACACTCTCTTCCCACTAATTAAGAAATGGTTTGAAAGCATCTCCTACACACAAGCAGATTGTTCAGTTCAACTCAGAAATATTCGTTGAGTGTCTCTGTCAGATGTTGGAGGCCAAGATGCCAGGGATGGGGAACTTAGCCTGCAGGGCTGGCTACACCTCACTGTCTCCTGGACACGGAAGCTCTGGGAAGGGCTGCAGGAAGGCACACTGGTGCAGAAGGTGCCAGAATAAACTTGTGCTTACTTTTTTTAAAAAGCCACTTACCTAAAACATCAAATGCCAGCAGGTCTAACCAAATATAAATTAGTGATGAAGATTAGACCTTCAAACAGCAATAAGCCAAGAGTTGGGAAGTGGTTTTGAAAGGAATTTGTAATAGGAGTTGCTCTTCAAAGTATCAACTGTCTGTTTCCATTTCATTGATATTTAAATCATCAGGAGAAAATCTGTACTCCCTATATGCACATACTTTGGTGAAAAGAGAATTGGAATTTTTAGATTCCACCACAACAGCCAAGGGCATTCTGGACTGTAAGGGCCCGCGGATGGGGAACAGTGTTGTGAAATACTGTCTTGTGGACGACAAGGGTATTTACACTCCGGAACTCACAGCCACTGTGGCCACCCTGCGGAAGACCCACTGCACAGAATGCCAGGTGATGGGTATTCATCAGTGATTCACATTCAGTGATGGAAAACAGAGACACAGGCTCCACCCCTGGTTGAGGAAGGATGGGCAAGTGGCTTGCTGGGAAAAAGAAGTCACGTTTCTTCAAGAGCTGCTGGTAAATTATCCATCTCCAGAAAACCCCACAGCCATGCTTATGCAAGCAACCCTAATGAATTAACTCGGAGAATTAAAACAAATAGTTGAGATAGTAAGAGGAGGACCGGTTTGAAAAAAGAAGGGGGTCAGAGGTAGTGGGAGGAGAATAAGAAAGGGCAAGGGGGGCAAACAATCATCAAAGCACATTACACACTTGCATGACATTGTCAAAGTAGAGAATACCTTACAAAGAATTAAGGGCATTCTAGTCTACAGAACTATTATTAAGGTAATAAGGCTGGACTAAATCGAAGTATACAGATTGATACAAACAGAATCAATACAAATGAGTGAGCTTTATGTCATACTATTAAAAAATAAAAAACCACGTGAAAAGTTCATGGAAATATGGAACCCAGGGAGAGTGAAACAAGCCAAAGAGGAGACAGTGTTGGGCGAGCACCCTCGAGAAGGACAGGTCTGGAGAAGCGGAGTAAAGGCACGGGAAAGGCAAACAGCAGTCACAGCAAAGAATCACTGCAGCCTCATAATCGCTGCACCGGACCCTCAAACGATAATTCAAATATCATTGTCGAGCATCATAAACACGTTAGGTGGAAACATGGTGTGGTGGCCCATGCCTGTAACACTAGCACATGGGAGTCTGGGGCAGAAGGATCACCAGTCTGAGGCCAGCCTGAGCTATAAAAGGCCAAGACTGGGTCACAGAGTCAGACCCTGTGTCAAAAACAAACAAACAAGCAAACAAAACAGAACAAATAGTAAAGTTAGGGGCTGGAGCTGCAAAGCTTCCACAGACACTGGGAGCCAGCCAGGTCCAGGAGAATAGGAACCAGGAAGCCCCGTACTGTATGTACAAAAGGTTCAATTCCATGTAGTACGTTCTCAACAGAGACAGGCTGGTGGGTTGGCGTTAAGCACCGAGAGCACTGGTATCATTCCTGACAGTATCTGACCCCATAAACTAAGAGCCCGGAGGAAATCTCTAGACCTAAAGTCAGGACGGTTGCTTACATTTATGAACACCTGAAACTCCCACCAAAGAGTCTGGAAGACCACAAGTGTTTGAGAACTATCTTAAAACTCATAGACGCCAGTGTGGTGATACAGGCTGCAATCCCAGCCAATAGGGAGCCAGGAGCGAGAGGATTAGGAGTGGAAGATCACTCTTGGTTGTGCAGCAGGGCTGAGGCTAGGCTGGACGACACAGTGAAGTCCAGGCCATTCTGGGGTGCGCAGTGAGACCTTGCCTCAAACAAACCAGGGCTAGTGAGACGTGAAAGTCCTTGCTGATAAACTTAAGTCCTTGCTGATAAACTTGAGTTTCATCCCTGGAATCCACGTGGTGGAAAGACTCCTGCAAATTGTCCTTTTATCTCCACACATGTGTATACCCAGTACACAGACCAAAAAAAAAAAAAAAATAGTGTTAAAGAAAAAAAAACAATATTTATTATTGGAATTCCTACCTAGATCCTTTTCAGTAAATATCCCAAACCCTTAAAGTTTTACCTTTTGTGTGTGAATACCCACATTCATTCATTCATTCATTCATCCATTCATTTATCTGTGTATTTGTTTAATTGCCCATCCATCCATCCATCCCATCCATCAACCTATTATTTTGACACAGTCCTGCAAGGCAGCCCTGGCTGGCCTGATATGTGCTATGTTATTTCAGGCTAGCCTTGAACTGGAGGCAATCCTCCTGCCTGTTTCCAAAGTGCCTCAGCACACCTCCACACCTCCGTAGTACTCATTTATTTTAAAATCCTAAAGACACAAGCTGTTCTACAATAACCCTGATGACAGCATCTTCTTCCATCAGTCAATGGCAACAAGGTCTAAAATTCGACGCTGGGTAAGAATCTGAACTTGTAAAGTGCTCGCTTAGCCCAGGCAAGCACTTTCATGTAGAGGACACGCTGCGTTGCGAGGTGGGCTCACAGATGTACTAAGTTAAGTGCCTTTTCACCACTGCAATCCCAGCAACCCCAGCTCTGGAGGCTGGGAAAGAAGGATCCAAGGATCAGAAATTCAGGCTAAACAGTGAGTCTGAAGCAGGAAGTTTACAAAAGACCCTGTCTCAAACAAACAAAAAGGAAGAAAGGAAGAAAGGAAAACAGAAAGAAAGAAATTAATGGGCTGCAGCAATTAAGAGAGCATATAGCTCTTGCCAAGGACCCAAGTTCAGTTCCCAGCACCCACATCAGCTGCTCACAACTCCAGCCACAGCAGATCTGTGGCCTCTGGCCTCAGAGGGTCCCTACATTCGTGTGCACACGAGGATTGTCATGAATTCAAGAGTAGTCTGTGGTACATAATGGGTTTCAGGAAAGCCTGAGGTACAAAAATAAAGCCCTGTCTCAAAACAGCCAATAATAGTAGTAACAATAAATTAATTAGAAAACTTTAAAATGGGGCTGCAGAGATATTTCAGCGCGCATGAGGACATACTCCTCTTGCAACAGACTCAAGCTTGGTTCCCAGCACCCACACCCAGGGGCTCACGTCTGTAATTCAAGGTCTAAAATATCAGACACTTCTGGCCTCATTGCCATCAGCACTCACACACATATATCCCAACAGATACCAGTCAACACAACTAAAAATAAATCTTTAAGAAAAAAAACCCACACCAAATAAATGTAAAACGTTACATTTTCAAACATGAACTTGAAATAGTGTTTTCAACATTTAAAACAATCAAGGGCTGGAATATAGTTCGGTTGGTGGAAGGCTTGCCTTGCACAGGGGTTCCCAGCACCGCAAAAGGAAAAAAAAGTACGTTTATAAAGTATACAGAAGACGTTATATATTGCAAATTTAACATACGTTAGATTGTGCTACAGTAACTAAACGAAATCAACGTTACATGTTTTGTGTGTTTTTAATACTATGCTGAATGTCTGGGTGAACGAATACATTTTTTCAATGAAAAAATTCCAGCGATGGGTTTAACTTCGATTCCTGTTTCACCAGAAAGCACGGCGGGGGCGGGGGTGGGGGTGGGGTTCAAGCATTCTGAATAAACTCACTGCCATTAATTAACTCCAGTTACGGAGGAGCAAAGGCAGAAGAAGAGAGAAACAAAAACTGAAAGAAAAAAAGAAAGAAAAAAAAAACAGCAGAAAGCTGGCCCTTCCTAGTCAAGGAAAACTAACGCAGATTAACGAAGTAGAGCCACGTAGGGCTGGGAAACCAGATTCCTGCTTTAATCTGGTGAACTGAGAGTAAATTTGGTGGCGCTGGAAGCCAAAGCTACCGAGGAAAAGCAGCCTGGTCCGGCATCGACTCCTTCAAACACCCTCTTGGGACCAGAGCCGCAAGGTTCTAACTCGGGTCGCTAGCCATACACGCGTGAGGCTGTGGGGTCCCAGTCTGCAGCCTGCTCCCGGCCAGCCCAGCAGAAGCACCCCCACTGCAGGCAGAGACCGGGAGCCGGCGGGGCGCTCACCCGGAGCCAGGCCACTCACACCCGCCGCCAGGGTCGGGAAGTCTGAGAACTAAGTGGCCGGGCGGGGACACAGCGCAGGCAGCCGAGGAACAGGCGCCAAGCTGCCGCGCTCGTTTGTGGGGGGAAGGAAGGAGTTTTGGGGGCACGATCCGGAATGCACTCGCTGACTTCAACCCATCCCCGGCCTGGCGGAGACCGCCCGCCCCGCCGCAAGCTCCCCGGAGGCCCATCGCGCTCCAGGAGCCCGGGCCCGCAGTCACTTACCCAGCTCCTCCGCCTGCAACCGGAGCGGAGCGCACACCGCGAACAGCAGCGCCAGGACGCCCGGCCGACTGGCCCCGGTCCCC